ACAATAATAGGAAATGCATCATTATTATAATATCTTCACGTAAGATTATATCTGGAGGTATATATATATATATATATACATATATATATATATATATATATATACATACATACATTACAAAGTGAATGTATTGGAGAATCTTTAAAAGTGAGAGCATTATCCAGATAACGCTCTGTATAAATCTACCAATAATCCAGAATGATTAATTAACTAATCTTTATTCAAGTGGTATTTAAAGGTCAACACCATGTTATACCTGTTTTATCGGCCGACCTTAAAAAGAAACTACAATCAAATTGATTCGAAAATAATAACATAAATACAACAAGATTATTTCGTTAATGGATTCCTTTGACAAATGCACATATGGGCACCGTTCATTGTGTTTGACAAGTTGCTTTGCTAAGGACTTGTTACCATGAACCAAAAAAAACATGTCATTATTAACAAAGACGTGATTTAAAAAAAAACTACGCAGGTAATTAAATATCTAGATTGTTATGATATAAAAAAAACTAAAAGCTACTTTTGCCTTGAACGATATAGATTTGCAATAAATGGATTTGCGGAAGAAAACAAGTAATGCAGAACAAACCGTCTTGATATATTAGTTTAGTTTATATATTAAGTCAATTACTAATTATAAAAACATAAGGTTTTTTATGCCAAGTCAAACAGAATTTTACTTTCCAGTCACTTTTCACAATTGTAATTGTAATATAATAGAATTTTATAATATTCTCTTATTACAATCAACATAAGTGTTTCGATCTTTATGCTTGAATTTTGTCTATAATATTTAACATTATTATAGAATAAGTTCATATTTAAATTTATGTCGATAATTGGAATATACTCAGATAATGATTCAAACAATTTAACAATTTTATGTGTTTACTGATAGACATATATTGAAAAAATCGCAATATTTTTTTAAAACAGTTGTAATTGTGCATATTACACATTTATACTACTAAAGTTCTCATAATTACTCCTTCGAATAAAATCCAATTGTGTCTTTAATTGTATCTATAATTTTATATATTTATATGTATATCAGCAACTGAATTACACAAATATATACGTATCCTAATTCAATCACATTCAAGAAAGCAAAGTCGAAGGTAATGTTTATATCTAAAAATTTTGATTCTTTGCGATCATGAACATGCAGCCTAAATCCTTTTTTCAACACTGGGTTACGTCCAATAAAGAAATTAAAATGTCACAAAGAACATGATTTAAAACACCGTCGATGAATAAGAAAGATTAACTTTGGTAGAATCACATGTTAAATTCTAATGGCTTTGAGACCATATGTCAAGATAATACTTTGAACGATTTTGCATTATGAATTTTAAATGCATATGAATAAAAAATCGGCAGCGTTTGACCTACATCTGATATATGACTCGGAAGAACAGGAATCAGTCGAAAGATAATAATATTATCGCAGTAGAATTTCCAATAATTCAACTCTTTCGTAGGATTTATTATGATAATACGAGATATGTATCTTATAGTTAAAAACGATTATTGTCCAATAATCGATAAAAAAACTATTGCTACATTTAATTTGATAAAATTATCACAAATTTTTATTCGTAACATTTACAAGTTCTCGGACAGTAAAAGTTTTAGCAAGGTACAAAAATTGACAGTAATTTTATTTTTAATTGGTTGTGATACACAAAATTTGATTAAACACAGTTCATAAGGGTAGTCGGATTATCATATTTTTATCGTTATATTATACTATGTGGCTTGCCCGTAAGTAAGCGGTTAAGAGCGATGGGACCTGAATCAGCACCTTATAGAACTATTAGGTTCTGATTCCTGTTCTAAAATTATAAAAAATATATATATTTTACTATGAATGCTATAGCATCCACGTCAAGTATTACGCTTCTATGTTACGCAATGAGCTTGACTAAGCTAATTAGTGACTACGGAAAAAGATAAGATAATACGAAAAGGTCTGAAGAATCAGTTAGGCATTACTTGACGAATTGAAAAAACGTAAGGTTTTATAAAATTAAATTCAAAGCAAATGAAATTTGAATGCTACAGCATTCATAACATTCTGAATTACAATGAAAATGATTGCTATAACATTCACGTCTAGGAAAGTGTTTTGAAAAGTAAATCATTTTGATACTGTAATGCCCCAATTGGGTAGTACACTATTAATTATTTGAGTAGACATGATCAAAAGATCGTAATTTTAATCTGTTCCGATCATTATGTTATGCATATATATGTTACGGTGAATGTGTATATTTTGGCGAATGTGCACTCTCACCGGTGAATGTGCACATTTACCGGCTCAATTGGCGAATGTATGTTCAACTCACGCACGTGCGCACGTGCAGGTGAGATACTAATTTATATATTTATATTTATACTATTTATTTTAGTCATATGCATATTAATATCCATTATTTATTATCACTATTAACTATTAACTATTTATCACTAACAATTTATCTATATACTATTAACTATGAACTATTAACTGTTTAATTAATAACTATTAACTATTTAATCATTAACTATTACCTATTTAACTATTTAATCATTAACTATTACCCATTTAACTATTCTTAATTCACTATTTACCAATTACTATTCACTATTTACTATTAACTATTCAGTTATCACTATTTCACTATTCAACCATTTACCATTTACTATTCACTATTTACTATTAACTATTCACTATTTACTATTAACTATTTACTATATAATTATTTAGTTATTACTATTCACTATTTAATTATTTAGTTATTACTATTCACTATTTACTATTTAATATTAATAATTCACTATACACTATATTACCACTTTACTATTCAACTATTTACTATTAACTATTAACTGATTAACTATTTAGTTTGCATGCGCCAAATACGCAAGATGTTCATGAGACCGCTCCAAGTACGCACGTACGCCATTCTTCTAATTTGATTGTTTCCACATTAGAGTTTGGGGAATGTGCACATTCACCAAGAGTGCACATTTACCATAACATATATAGCACATAAATCTAAGTTAAGATGAGCAAACTGTCATACAATACTTGGCAATCGAACTTTACTTAAGTCGCCAAAGAAAGGTACAGACAACACGAACTGCTATCGAAAATAATATAGCCAATGATGTGTTCAAAGTAAGATTTAAACTAATTAATTGCAATTACAAATTTTTGATAAACTAAGTGCCTTCCAATATACAATACAACAAATATCCAGCAAATATATATTGACAGATGAGGTAGATGATGTAAAAAGATCTTACCTTAATTAAGCGGCGTCCTTTCCAACACCTTCACACAATCACTATTTATGTAAAAATGTCCATCACTAACGAATAGTCCACAAAATACACCGGTAAACTGATTACAATCACTGATAGTTTCAAAAATCACTAAACCACTACTTATTTTATCGAAATCACTAGTTATTTGACTATATTTTATAGGCACTACGCAATTATGATTGACAGGTCCTTTCCGTGGCGTCCAGGTAATCAGCACTCTCTGTCTCACATTTTTGCAATTAAAAAAACTGAAATGAAATACGCAATGTTATGAATTAGCGCTAAATTTAAAATGAACAATAACAGGACATTCAAATTTGAATCGCCTCAAATATAAGTGTATAAGAATATGTACATATAGAGTTTTAAATGTAGATTATTTACTATTGTTCAAATATAGTAAAATGTATATTAGATATAGTAAAATATTGAAATAAATTGAAGAAACTGGCACTCAAATGTTTAACAAAAGTTTTTGAAGTCGATTAAAATTTTCGTTTGGTACAATTTCTTTTTACAAGTTTTCATCTCCAATAAAAATGTGTATGCAAAAGTTGATTTCTTCAAAAGCAAAAGTTAGTATATAAGGTTGAAGATTTAGCAAAATAATAAATGAATTGATAAAATAATTCTGGATAGTGGTAATAAATTATTAGGTAACATGTAAAACATAAATAGATATAATTGTAGTAATGTATTAATTATATTTTTAATCATTATATTATATAAATTAATCAATAGGTGATAAATCTGGATAGATAATAAATTTTAACATATATATATATATATATATATATATATATATATATATATATACTAGCAAACCCGACAAACTCCGTTTCGCCACCAGATAGTTTCGTGAAAAGATAAAGAAATTTTTCGTTGGTTTTATATTTGAACTGGAACTAGGAAGACGAATTGGAAATTGCAATCGTTTGAAGCAAACGGAAGACCAGTCGGAATCATTGATATGTCACCAAATCGCCAGCAATTTTTGATTGAATGGTGAAATTCAGTGCGTGTACGTCATTATTGTTTGCGGCAAGAAATGCTCTTTGACTTAACCAAGCATAATACTGATAATTCTCACTAATGTCATTACTCGAATTTTTAATTACGGTGCGTGAAGTTTCAGCAATTTGCATTAAGGCACGATGCCATGCAGCACTTTTTTTTAGCTATAAACCTTGCAGAGCCCGAGACCTTTCCAACGAATGCAAAATTGTCGAAATCGGTTCGTGCGTTCTGGAGTTATTTCGTCAGGAAGGAAAAACCCGACTTATTTCTATATATATGTAGATATATATATATATATATATATATATATATATGTGTGTGTGTGTCTGTGTGTGTGAAAGATCTATGATATATGCATATGCACATATACACATGTATTTATACGATCTATTTTTTGAAAAATGCTAAGTACGTAGTTTAGTTAGTAAATAAGTTAGTTCCTGAGTTAAGGCAAGTTTCTTTTTAGCTTACAATTATTTTCAAAAATTCTTATAATATTCTTGTAATTCGTATAATACTGTCTACACAAGTTAATATTGCATATAATTGTATAATATATGATTGAATAAATATGATAATTTTTATAATGTATTTGTAGTGCTACTATTTTTTTGTCTAATTCTATTAAATTCAAATTAATCTATTAATATTTATTATTGTTTCAGGTGACGAAACTAGACGATTTGAGTCCCATAATCTTCCTGAATCGAACAAAAGCGGCTTTATATTGCGGAGCTGGATCTATGCAGGTAATTATCTAATTTTTTTTTTTTTTTTTTTTTAATTATTATTAAGAGTCCTATAAGCTGTTGTACTAATTCTTAAAACTAGTTAGTTCTACAGATGGCAACCAAAACAGTTGTCCCCTTTCTGTGCTAACCTTACTATTTTCAATTGGTAACATAGTGCTTTCCATATTTTCAAGCAAAAATTATTGTCACTTCTGCTTGATAACAGGTTGCTCTGATTAAGACCAGTCTTTTTAGCCACTTACCTAAAGGCAAGCTCATTTATTTAATAATTACATTTTATTGAATTTATTAATTATTGAATTTTCGAATGATATTTATTATGTCCAGTCATGTGTAATTGCATACATTTAATAGATATAGTTAGTTTATTGAGATTAAATTCGGAAACAATATTTTAATCAATTTTTTAATCAAACGCTGTCATATAAAACTAACTCATCAGAAAATTGTAAGGATCTTCATAAAGTTTTGATTTGATTGAATTTATATATTTATCCATAAAATGAATATATCAACTCTGAACTTTAATAACAGTTCATATATTGCTGCGGAAGTAAAAAGTAACCAATCGTCGATGAGGAATTATATTTCCTGGAATAAAATATGATGTAACTCTTCTATTATTGCTACAGAAGCAATATATGGTAGTAAAAATTATGGATACACAATATTTAAACTTAATTTTTGCAGTATATTGATATATTTTTCATTTGTTGTATGACTAAAGTTATACATAATTCTGGATAGTATATAATATTTGTTATTTTAAGTTTCCTTTATTTCAAACGATTGCCGGTAAAGGTAGTTTAAAATTCATGATTTTAATAAAAATAAAAAAAACATATATTATAATTATTAATTATATTTGCTGATGAATATATTTTATATTCTTCTTTCTAAAACTTGAAATTTAGTAACTTCATTTATATCTAACGTGTTCAGACAATTCCAAAGAAGAATTCATTCTTTTTTTTGTTTTTTATTCTCATCTAGGACATTAAATTTTTATGTACGAATAAAATAAAATCTCTGTTTCAAATACGAAAAAAATAACAAAAGCTCTGTTTGAAAACCTTTTAACTTATTGTTGCAACGCTGTAAAATGCTATTTTAGCACTGAACCCAATTAGATTAATTTTGTCAAAAACCATTTTTTCACTAAGTTTTATCCAATTAAAAAAATTATGAAAAAAAATTTGCAAACTTGGATACTAAGCATTACATAAGAAAAATTTGAGATATATTAAATAAGATCCATGCAAATTGAAGTTGAATGAGGTGTATATAATTTCGACTAATGTTGTAAATATATCAAATTCCGTCGTTGGCGGTCCCTCTAGTACACACCTTTATACAACTAAATAACAAATATAGAACATCAAGTTTTTTAATCTCGAGATTTCCGCCTCAGAATCTTGACACGCATTGTATTGCTCCGTGTTATGAATGTGATGCAATCATTAGAAACTCGCCTTAGTAGTTTTTTAATTTCCTAATGGAATAAAGCATTGATTTCATAACTATTGGAATGCGATGATTATTATCACTCACGATTTCAGTACATCGCTAATTTGTATTCAGATTTCTTCGTTGATAAAATTGAATCTTCACAGTCGAACAATGGATTAAATTGGAGAAACTGGAAATTGAATTCATCAATTTTTTATTGCGATTTATTGATTCACAATCGCACACTGGCATATTTGTTTGGAATTGATTGAAGTTAATTATTTACTGGGTGTAAATGGCATGGCTAAGGAAAGTTGAATGAACTTCCGGTGCTATGTAAAGAATCCACCTGATCAATGAGGATAGAGATTTACTAAATTTATGATTGTTGATATAGATTTTGAAATTTTTATATTGTTTATATTAATCGATTAGTGATTATTGAGACAATTGATTATAAAGACACGGCTTGGACAATCTTTACCAAAAAATAATCAGCTCGTTTTCCATTTATCTTTCGAACGTTTTTCAAATTCTCAAACTAGTTCAAAAAATTCAATTGCGAAGCTAACACGAATTTAAGTTTTATCAAATGCCTTTCAAGTTCTTGAAATTGTTGCAACAATTTTTAAAAAAGTAGTCAAAATTAATTTTTTGGCTCCCATACTTACACACATATGCTTTTACTAATTTTGGTGTTGGACGATTCAGAATGACATGGAGATAACATCAAATAATTTACCATTTACATTACTATTCACTAAAATTTCAAGAAGTTTGAAGATATGTGATAATCCATTAGGTTTAAAAAAATTAAAAACTATATATCTGTAATAAAGTTACTTACCACAGACAATTTGATGATTTTCACAAAAAGAACTCTGAATGATTTATAAATTTAGCTTCAGACATTCTTTTCTCGACTAGTAAATAATTGAATAGCTGTTAAAAGTCGATTGTCCTATCAATATTCAAAGGAAGAGAATGACAATTCCATTCCAATTGATTCATTTTTTAGATGTTTAAGAATGATGCATGTATCCAGGAGTATTAATATATTTCACAAACTAATATGAAAAGCGTAGAGTATTTTGTTAACTAATATTTTTTATTGATCTATCGACATGAAAATACGTAGATTTAGATAAATCACTAAATGAAACTAAACCTTTTCTTGAACAATTCCTGTCATATCTGTTATAAAATCAAATTTTATTTTTCATAAAATATAGACAAATGTTATTATATTTCATAAAAAGTAATAATTAATTTTTCTGTGTCCACTTACTATGTCTAGAGTATTTTCTGTGTATTTTATGTCTGCTCTATGTACAATATGCAAACATTGATTTATGTTTCCATTGAACAAGTCCAATTATCTTATTTCTGTGGTCAAAAATATTTACATTTATATCAATTTAATTTTAGATATTTAAATATTCTTTGAATCAATCATAAATACTTTGATTTATTAATTATTTACCACATTATTACTAATCCTAATAAGACTATAGTCACACAGTCTAACGATAATTCTTTAGGGTAATTAGGTTAACTAGGCTTTTTTATGGTAATTTTAGGTAAACTTTGTTAAAGGAATCGGTTATTGTTGTATGACTTTAACGCATTTTATCTGATTTTATGTTAACACTATATTGTTCAATACCCATTATGAATAAACCCGTAATCGAGCAGTAATGATATCAACTTTCACTTGGAAATATAAATCCTAAATATGTTACTAAGTGAAAATAGCCTTCTTGAGCAATATTTATAAAATATAATAATCAGTCCCCATTTAGATAAATTCAAATAATAAAATAATCAATTATAGATGTATCAACCATTGGGTTACCATTTAAAAAAACGACATAAGAAAAAGTTTCAGCACAGCAGCTTATAGGACGTAAGGCTCTTCTTTTATGAAACTTTAATTACAACAATCATTTTTCAGTGACGATTAAAATTCATACAAGAAAAAAAAACTTGAACATAAAACAAAAAAGTTTTCTAAATTTAAACCAAGCATCTGAAGTAGATTATTATTCTACGCGGCAAGATGCATCTATATCTAAAATACGATATGTTTTTCAATATGCATGCATATGTAATAAAAATATCATTGAAGCAACAAAATATTGTTACTGAAGAAAAAAATTATATTATTTCAGATCGAATTGAAGTTCAACGAGCCATTTTTCGGAATAGCTTATGCAGACTTTGATAGGAATTCTGCCTGCACTGTGGCTGGAAATGGTGATTTGAGTTACAAACTCGAATTGCCTCTGAAAGGATGCGGTACCAGACAAGTGAGTACTAATGACATCGTAATTAAGACTTAAAGATTCATTTGATTTTATGAGCTATTAAATAACATTTGAAAAACATTTGATGACCATGTCCGTGCCGTAATGTCTTTTATTGTAATGTAAAAAATCAACAATAAGTTTTGTAATAGAAGAAGTTGTTTGCATTGTCTCAATGTAATTATTAAAGCTTGCCAATATATAATTATTTTATTAATATTATTTTTCCAATTTCACATCAACCAAATTAATGAGATGCAACAAACGGCAATGTTTAAAAACCCATATCACAAGTATTTTCTTTCGTTGTTAGTTTTTTGGTTGTGAGCACTGTCGTTTAGTTTACGAAGCCTTAATATAATTTTTAAGTATTTGCTAATTTACTGTTTTATAAGGTGAATTGTTAATTTTAAGTTAGATTCACCATTTTTTTCAGCCTCTATAAAAGCTTAAACGTGGTTGAGGTGAAAAGAATCACTTGAACCTTTACAATGGCTAAGGTGTGAACAATAAAAAATAGTAAATAGAAAAGTAAATTAAACTAAAAAAGTAATTTTACAAAGTATGAATTGAACTGAATTGAATTGAATTGAATTGTTGAAGTTACTATTCCAACTTTACTGATGAATATTTCTAGCAAAATACCAAATCAAGGTGTTATATACAGTGTTAACTTTGTAAAAGATGTGCCCTCGAATTTTATATTTTGCATTGGTGATTACTTCGTAAAATCTCTTCAAAATTAATTTAAAGACATTGTACCTATTTGCTTCTAGACCGCCTCTTTTTAGCCTCCCTATGGTGTAAAAAGGACCAGGTGACAAATTTCAAAAACACAGCATTAAAAAAACACATTTTTACAATGATGAATTTGCTGGACGTTTAACTAAACAAAGTCAAATAGTTGTTTTTTTTATATGTGTGATATAAATGGTTTGGTTTTCATAATACGCTCGCTCAAATCGCTCATAATCAATTGAACCTTTGTGCCCCTATACTTAAACTATTTTGTACTTACAGATAAATTGTTTAATTGGGCGATTTAATTAGACAAAAAATCACGAAATATCACATGGGGGAGGGAGGAGTATAGTAAGATATCACGTGTATTTATTTTTTAAATGATGTTTTTTTTTAATTCAAACATTTTCAAAAAAAATTTTTTAAAAATACCGTTTTATTACGTAACTAAAAATACACGAGATGTTCGGTGGGGGAGGAAGGGTAATTTTGAATATCACCAAATATCACCAAGGGCGAGGGGGTCCAAAAATCTTTACTCGCTCACATGATTAATGGATGCCCCCTTGTGAAAATATAAACTATAAAGCAACAAATAATTTAAAATCTCTGGTATTATATAAATTTAGCATTGCACATTTAAATATACAATTCTTGTAACATAAAAAGTATGAGTCTTGATACTTGATACCGATGCATTAATTATAAATTACTTTACGGCCATATTATTTAATTGGATCATATATCGATTGGATAAAATTAAATTATTTAAGTACCAGCATAAAATATAATTATACAACGTGCAAGTGATCATAATTATTTTTATTGATCAATCAATGATTGCGAATCTTATCCGCCTTAAGGTTGTTCACTTTCCATAGAAATAAATCAGGTGTGCACATCGAATGAAAGTGAATTTTGTTCAAATGAGAAATGTATAGTGAAATTGAAAATGTAGGGGAAAATAGGATGAGATGTCTTATTTCATGAATAAAACGATGATCTGTGATCAAATATCAAATGTTCTTCTAAATGTTATGACTACGTACAATATATATGATCAACTACTCATAAAACACCGTGACAAAACATTATTCGATAAATTTGATATAGCAAAATTAGTGCAAATTTTTTATTGGAAGAAGTATTTTCTGGATGAAAAATGACAGCGATAAATCTGGAATCTTAGTTTGCCCCATGACATAGTTTTTACCCAAATACTTTATAATTTATTTATAATCCTTTATAATAATTCATGGTCCACCATATAATATATGATTTGATTTAAAGTCTAGGATCTCAAAATCAAGATCTTAAAACCAGATTCTGACAAAAAGCGGGTTGAAAATGATGACTTTTGACAGCCTCGCTAGTCTATTATCTTTTTAGCACATCGACACCGGTTTCCACTATCATTTTCTCATGCTGATTCTTAGCAAATACTTATGTGAAACCCTTTCTTGGAAATCCGGTTCGCTTTTGTCGTCTCAGAGACTAAATATACGCGATTTTTTTGCTCGACAAAATAAGATCTTTATTTCATTGTCAGAGAAGAAGATTTATAGGAATGAATCGTCATTATGGAAGACGGTTTACTTCAACAAAGTAAAATGGGTCGACTGGCTAAATGGAAGATGGTTCAGATAAATCTTTAGGCAATTTTAGAAGGGATTTTGTTTGAAAAAATATGAATGGGTGTTCTGAGAGTGCTATTCTTGGTCTATTTTGTAATAAATGACATATCGCTTTTATAGATAATAGATTCTCTTGCTTGAAGAACTTCTTTGGTTAAAACTAAATATTCGGTTTTTCATTTGGAGTCAAGTGTCAAAGTTAGTTACTATTTTCGTATTTAATACGTTCCTATTTAATCATCAATATTCAATTTATGTTATTTGAATACTTAGTCATTTTTAGTGAAAGTATCGTTTATCCTATAATTTATAATAATACAATCACGAATAATCACGCTATCTTCTGTTAACAAAAATATATTATTTATTTTAGACTAACCAAAAATTTCTGTAATAAATTTTATAAAATAAATAAATCGACTTATTTATAATAATATTAAATATATAAATAAATATGCAAATTATATTATTTATAATGAAAATGTACACAATATGTGAATATTGATAAATATTGGTTCCAACAAATGAGAAAAATTGAACACATTTCTGATTCCACGAAATTTATTTAGTATGATTCAAGTAAAAGTTTTAGATGATTTAAATTAGGTAATGGTATGATACATATAGTATTCTTTATATTTTCTTATGGTGAACAGATTATAAAACCATTTTAAAAACATAATAAAAAGTATAATAAACTTTTCGAATTTGATACACCATTATCAATTAATTATCTTTATAGCCAAAAAAGATATTAACTTTGTGTTGTTTTTGATACTTTCGTTTTTATGGTATCTAACTAAATAAATTAAATCGCTAAAAACAAACATCAAGATGCAATTTGGGATCGGAACGTTAATAAACTTAACGATGAGAATCGGTTTAAAAGCAAAGCACCACATTATCATAAGTACCATATACTGATTAGTAAAATAAAAGGTATGGTAATTAAAGGTAAAATAAAAGTAAGGGGTCGAAGGTATTCGATTTCACGCGAATTGTTTAGGGATAGTTAATTGGAATAATCCAAAGATAAAGTACAGCACTGAAATTCGAATAAATCTATTACTCTAAATATACATATACATTGCTTCAATATTCCTTAATTGAATATTTTAATTATATTTTTACGCTTCCTTGAAGATGATGAGAATTTTTTTAAATATACATAAGAAATAGCAATTTTAACTTTAATATTATTTTTTTAGGATCCGCAACGTGTTTTCACAAACAACATTGTCGTACGTTTCCATCCAAATTTGGAAATCGAAGGCGACGAAGTTGTGACCATTGTGTGCAGATATCCTCCTCCAATAGCTCCTCCGCCAGCTGGTGTCCCAAATTTCATGTGAGTATTGATAAACTAGTCAAATTGTAGTCCAATTTCAATATAAAAGTATTAGAATGTTACATGATTGATTGCATCATATGCCACTGAGAATGGAATGGATCTTCCAACCCAAAAAATATTCAAGTATGCTTGAAGAGTTGATAGTAGACATAAAGACATTCAGTATTATTATTTTTTAAAAATATTATTTTGCAGAATATTTATTAATATATTTTCTAAAATAAAATTGAGGTATATTGAATTAATATCTTTTGTATATACAGTTTTATCTCAAAACAATCGCAAACTCTAGAAAATTCATACGTATACTACTTCTTCTGAATATAATATGTAATATTTGATATAATAAAATTTGGAAAATAAATTGTTATAATACTTTCTGATATATTAATTAAGCTCGTCCAATACTTAATTGGATTGCTTTGTATTACTTAATTTCTTTTTTATATATCTGTGTAAATATAACAAACATTTTACAAACGTCGTCTTAAGACTACTTTGAGTTGTTGTTCTAGTATTATAAAAGAACAAATAAAATATGTATGTATATATTATGATTGAAGTATAGAAATAAGTGCTCGCATGTGAGTAAAAAATATTGACACCTGGAAGCATCATGGGGAAACTGGAAGTAAAACAATATGCAAAAAACTATTAGAAGTGCTTCAATATACGGAAGATAATGAAATTTTTACAGCCTGTGAATAATTTCTTATGCTCTGGTCACTTTTTATACATAATATCCGTTTCCGTGCCGTAATACACGACAAAGAATAGGTATCATGAAACGTTTTTTATCATCTTTATTAGATTTGATACTTACAAGTATCAAATAGTCATCATAACCTCACAACTCAAACACAAGTAAAACATTACTAAAGGACACTAATTCTAATTACTACATTTTATAGGTCAATTCAAAATCATTCAAAATCGTTTATTTATAATGTTATTAGTATAACCAGCAAGAAGTGAAAGTAGTGATTATAATCATAATTATACAAAATTTTTGATCATTTGTGATATATATTAACATTGTTACAAAAAAAATTGAACTATAGAAATCATATTGCATTTTGTTTTAAAAATAGAATAATTGGCTAGAATAAATTGGTGTATTTTAATTTCTGATCGATCATTGTAAATATTGTCTCTAATTAGTGTATTAATCAGTCTGAATATTGTGTTAGAAGAAAATGTTTTCAATACTTAATTTTCTACATAACCAATGACTTCAGCAAGATGAACGTAACTCAGTTTAACAATTCTCAATCATATATTCTTATTTTTTCTTCTAAAATGTGTATCAAATATTCTTGAGACATATAAAATATTTTTTGACAAAATATTACAGTATATATCCAAATTATGTTACTAATTATATATATATATATATATATAATTTAGTAATTTACTAATTTATATGTTGGCGTATTGGAACTTAAGTGAGAAAACTTTAGAAAGTAGAAAAACTAATTTAACAAATTTTGTATATTTTTGAATAATAATTATTGATTCGTTGATTATAATCAACACATCATCAATGATGAAGTTAAAACCCAAATCGTAGTTCTTTAATAAAACAACGATTCGCAGGTCATTCAAGTTTTATTCATTATTAACATCTATAAACATGACTGTAAATCCATGAAAAATAACATCTATCAATTACCCACAACCCAATGAAATGAGTTAACACAAGATCATGGCAAATATTTCAAATTTAACGTTGTTCATGACGGCAGCAAAAATTAACATTATTGAGATACGAACATAAGTGAAGATAACCTTGACTCCGAAATTGTAGACACGTTTTGAATTTTTTTAGATAATAAAATAGGTTCCAAAAATGGTGATACTTAAAAACTAAAAATTGAATTAAAAAAATTAGGTTTATTTAAACAGCCGGCTGGGCAACTGGGTCTGTGGTTGCTGGTTTTGCAGCAGTTCCTTTAACTTCTTCTTCTTCAGTGAAGCTGGCATTATCTTCAGACATTAGGTCTGCAGACATTTCTGCATCTGAATCTTCGGCATCGGTGTCTTCAGCATCGGTTTCTTCATCTTCGGCTACTGTAGATGCACTGTCGAAATCTTCTTCGCTCTTCTTATTAGCCACTGGTGTTGGTGTTGGTGGCGATGTTGGGGTTGCACGAACCTAAAATTATTTATATTATGTACTGAACTAAACAAATTCGCCTTTTTTACCAACAACGCCTTATAATTTTTACTACAAGATGATATACAATAGGTCGATTTGAAATATTTGAACATACTTCGTTTTCCACCACAGGTTTGGGTGGCTCTGTGGAAAATAACATGCGCAAACCTTGTTGACTGGCCATGGAAGTAGCATTGTCGAAAATTGTTTGAGATTTGATAAATCCGCTCATTCCATTTATCTATATGTGAAATTATAGCTTTTTCATTAATCGTATAGGGAATCAAGTAGGCAGTTGTGAGAAACAAATATTCATGTCATGACATTTAGTCTAGTTTTGATATTATCAATAGTATATCAAAATATTTAATTATTGATCGTAGCTAAGCAATATTTAATTTTACATGTTTAAAAAACATTGTGCTTAACATTACTCAAAATAAAAAAAAAAAATTCTATGTATTTTGAAAATTATGCTGTATATAATTCAAATAGCTTCCAAATATTTTGAAAAAAAAAGCTACATACAATAATTATTTCCGATATGAATTTTATGACAGTTATTCATTCTGTATTATCAATGACCGGTTAAAAATATAAATGATATAGTTATTAAATTAAGATCTCAATAACTTGTTACAATTATGTTATCAAAATATATAATCAATTATTTCTATTACCTGGTAATGAACTGGGCGAATCACGCTGAATCCATTAACCAGAGCATCCCGTTTTGCGATAAAATTCAAAATATTTGCTTTAGCAAATGTTCCACATCGCATCAATTTCACAATGCTTGCCGACTGCATTTTGATTTGAAATTTTGCACGAAATTAGCGCGAAATTACACTTTTACTTTATTTTGGGATTTACGCGACCGTTCGTTTGATTTTAGATGATATTGTTTTGTCTCGCAAAATTTGCTTACTAGGATAAGGAGAATTTTGTCATTTGTTTGGAATGATTGTTGATCTAGGAAGTGTAGAAAATATGTTTTTAAATTCAATCAAATTTTTTGTAATAATTGTCATAAGTTGCATTTTGTGAATTATAGTTCTCAAAAATACATAGTAGTTTGTAAGAGAAATTGGTTCATTGATAACTATATTTTGATAGTATAGTTTAGAAATAAACCAAAATTAACTTGGTAGTATTTTGCATTAAGGAAAGTTGCATGATCTTTACGTGTGTTATTTACAATTCGAATCAATCAATAAATTTCTATAATCAAACTAATTTTCGTATGCCTCTAATATTTCCATACTCATATTAGAGAGTCAATCATCATACAAAGTTTTATGAAATTTAACAAACAAGTTTTCAATCATTAATTGCGACGAAACGGCCTACCCAATCTTTACCAAAAATCATCCAATACGATTTTTAACATTTGCTATCAGTAGAACGGTTTCAGATCATTTTTTGAAAATGTGAACATATTGTATAACATATTGAGTTGCATTAAATAACTTAGATTTTTGTCAAATTATTATATAATAATAGAATATAAATTAAACAATAAATAGTGCTGAATATTGATAAATAGTAATGGTCAAATTATACAATTCAAAAACAATTTATAGACCTTTAAAATTTAACAAATCCTGCAAGTTAAGCAGAAGTAAATATAAAATCAATATATAGTTTATAGTATCAATATATAGTCGATTTATTATAATTTTTTAAAGGGCGGTTAAAGAGTTACATGTCAATGTAGCAATTTTAATACATAATGATTTTTGATTCTGTATATTAATGGATTAATTTCATAATTTTTCAGTCAGAATATTGTTCCCGCTGCCGCTTTAGAACCTCCACTTAAAGGTTTCCAAATTCTTCTGATAATATGTGCTATTATGTTCTTGTCGCTGTTACTTCTTGGATTGGCTATATCTTATTATTGCTTGAGAAGAAGACCCATCGTTATACCAAGGCAACCATTATCAATTGGCAGTGGAAGTGAAATTACAAAACTATCTGGCAGTTCATTGGGTAAGATAATAAATGACACGTTATATGAGACAAATATGGTAGGCAAAAGACACACTCCAAATATGATCACCTTTCACTACTAATTTTGAAGTATTGTCTTGATTGACGCTCCCCAAATGCAAATTGTTACCAGTAGATATACTTAGAGTAAACTATGTTTTTTTTCTAACTTATTAGGACTTGAAGAAATGCGGATGTAAAGCTTAGTTTTGAACTGCAATATCAGATAAATGGTTTTAGCCAATTATCATATCTTACGTTGAGCAAGCAGTGAAATTAGTCCTATTAGAGTAAGATTTAAAAGGATTGTTTCCATTTCAGGTAACATATCTATGTTCGAAGGACTCAAGATACCTCGAGCTCATGCTCCAGTTCAGGCTGCAGCAAGCAGTTCAGGAAGCGAAGGTCCCCTCATCAGTGACACCATTCCAAGTGATTATCCGAGCGAATCCCACTCCGAAGTCGAAGATGCCGAAACGCGATCTCTACCAGTTAGTTCAGCAGGTAGTTATGAAAATAGAGCTTACGTACAGGACGCAAGCAGCTTCTACAGCGAAGGTACGGGGTTTTCATTTACTAGATTGTATCGCATACATTTTAAGACTTATTTTGTCATGTTGTTATAACTTATTTCTTTTCAAAGTTATTTCAAACCAATATTTCAAAGGTCTTTACGATGCGACAAACCTACAGTACATCAGAATACGTGGGTAAAAATTCCGAATATCCAAAATAATTTAATTCAAACATGAGTTTCAATGCTTGATGTCACTGAAATGCATGAAATGTTAACATGCAAGAAAATTTCTGCATAGAAGCATCCGCACATACCCGCACGATTTCTTGAAAATAATGCAAATATAACTACCAATTGTTGGTGTTGTTTTTCTAGTATTTTGTACCAAACTGTTAATATTTGTATCTAACTCTATAAAATACCAAAAATACAAACTTAAGCTTATTGATCATTATCAGCTATCATCATTAGTCAAATTTTACTAATTTTTAATGTTTGTCAATAACATCAAACAGACTTTGAAATTAGCAATGTTTAAATATTAATAACTATTTCAGGCTACGGTCATACGCAGGAATTGCAAGCCGCAAATGCTACAGCTACACAAGCTGTTGTACCTCGTTTACCTCTTGCCGTGAAAATGGAAGCACCCAAATTTGACGTTCAAGTCCGAGTTAAACGTGCTCCGCCACCGCCGCCGTCACCAACATTGACAAGCGACACTGAATCTGTAGCAACTACAACTAATGGTCGTACAAATCTAGACACTATCATAGAACATCGCGAAGAACGACCAGTTGAATCGCCCCCAAGATCGGAAACATTTACTTACACACCAGATATACATCAACCGCCAAGGCATGCCCAAACACCACCGGTGTACTCAAGGATATTAAGAAAGCAACAAGAGCAACAAGAACGTGCACCATGGCCTGAAGAATATGTCGATGCACCTCCGATATCATCAGCAAGATCTATTGCTTCTCTTAATACAGAAATGACTGATACGCACTCAGTTACGGAAATGGTAGATGACTCTCACAGTAGACTATTTGTCAAAGAAAGACCTCCACCCACGGAACGATTCAGTACTACACTAGATATTGAACCTGAAATACATGAACCGCCAATCGCAATTACAAGAAAACCTGAAATTTCCACACACACTGTGGATGATGTATATTTGAGAACCATAAAGGAGAAACGTACTATTGAGGACGTTGAAAGATACAAACGTGTAGTGACGGAGTACACAACTAAGCCTAAGATAGTCGATACTAAATGGGATGTTACCATCCGGAACTATCCGGGAAGTGAAATGACTGATACACCCGACTGGGAGAATTTCTCAGATATATCCTCTGCCTCAAACATGACTTTGACACCGAAATTGGAACGTGCGGAATTATCTTTACCACCTCCAATTTCTGACAGCGCGAAAAAATTGTACAGTCCACAATTAGTTGGAAGCATTGATCAGCACGGAGCGCCACCACAGCAAGGCATACTCATTGCTCCTTCTCAGCCAAGATATACTTCAATTGTCGACATACCACCAGAGGATCCAAGCGTTCCTAATTGGAACGTTCTAATACGAGTTCTGAAACCTATGGAAATAGATATTAACGACTTTGAACAAACTACAGAGTCTCTTACAATAGAAGATAAGGTGAAATGGAGGCACATTATCACTACAGAAAGTACTCTACGTACAATGTTGACTAAAGCTGAAGTGAGAGAAGATTTCGAACGCATTCGTCATGATGTACGATATGAAAATATGTTTGAACCACACAAGTGGGACGTTATCATAAGAATTTTAGCGCCTCCACAGAACAAACCTGGCGGAAGATATAGAAAGAAGAGTGATTGGGATAACAGAAGTCGCAGAAGTAGTTTGCCAACTTTATACGAGTACGACAGCGATGGAGCAAGTTCAGTCAGAACACTAGGACAAGATCCGGCTTTGCATTTACCGCCTCGATCAAGAAGGACTTCACGTTCTAGTTACCGAAGCGATAACATTGATATGAGATCAATGTCTGAAATGACTGTAGATTTTGCACGTCCTGATCGTTATGATTCAATGTCTGAATCATCTAGCTACCATTACCAGCCAGGTGCTAGCAGGTACTACGATCCAGAATCAGATCCAGATAACGATTTCAGATCTGAACAGCGTAGTAGCTTAGCGCGGTCGTTGAGTCAACCAAGTCTGGTTCGCTCCGCAAGTGAATTTACAGAGAGATGGATAGCTCCTGGGGTTTACCATCATGCTGATGACTCAGGTAGCGAACAGTCATCTCCCATAGCTACACCAAAGAGCGGACGCAGCGACAAACTAATGGCCGCTGGTCCATCATCTTACGGAATTATGAGTACATTCAAACCAGCAAAAAGCTCAGCTCCAGGACAGAAGGCTACCAGCAGCGCTTGGCGTGAGAGTGGAGCCGAGACCAAGGAACAAGAACTTCCCGGAGGTGGTAAAATGATCACTCAATCACAATTCGTCGCGGAGAGTTCCACGCAATATAGAAGTGGCTGGTATGGAGATGCTGATAGTGAAGCGAGTTTTAAATAAAATTCAATAAAATTTTCATGTGTATGGTAAAACATTTATTAAAGTAATCTATTCAATTTTTTAATAATTATCACCATACATATTAAAAAAATTAGTTAGCAATAAATTAATTGGATTTAGCTATCAAAATTGACTGTGACTTTACTATAAGAAATACATTTTCAAAAGGGTTAAACTCTAAGCAATATACAGCTATGTCAAACATAGCAACAAGTCTTATTTTATATTGTGAATACTGAATGCTACATACTGCCAGAAGTCACAAATTAATGGTAAAAGCATTTAATACCTTTCTGTATTCTCATTATAAAGCTAAATACATTTATAAGAATATATAAAAATAGATATATAAATAGGACATATTTAACTTGCCTTAAAAAATTATGATTCAATACATTGTAAAACTATAAAAAACGCAATTTTTAGAAAATATGTCAGTGTACAATGCATTGAAAAAAATCTTATATCTAATGCCAATTGTTAACTATGAAAATAAAAATATTCAATTAAAATAAGTAGAATTACTAACGTGCCAATTTAAATTTTGTAAAAATTATTTGGAATAAGTTTAAAGAAATTTTAAATGCCTTATGTGGATAATAATAATTTGTCCCATAAATTTAGTAATTAGATAAGCTGTGATAACAATATTTTTACTAAACGTATGATAATTTTTTACTTAAATATTTGGTATACGCTTTACTAAATTAATTTACGTAAAAATACTCTCTGAATTGGAAATCATGAGTATAGATCACTTGCTTTCTTTATAATACAGAAAACGAGTGAAATATATCAGGGTATCATTTTCATCATATCATAATAAAATGATATGTTGAATTTATTACTATTGAAATCTATTTTTATTAAACTAAACTTTGCTTCGGTAAGTATATGTAAAAGCCTAATCAAATAACGCAAGGAATTCCTTTAAGTCATAACTTAATAAGTATTATGTCTATGCTTGTAAACTATTTAGTTATAAAAACATAATTATTGTATTAATGAATTCTTTAACTATTAAATAAAAATTTAAATTTAGGTAATATAGATCAGGTGATGGGACACACAAGCAGCAATAAAATGTATAAATAATTTAAATAAATAATAAACAACTAACAGATTGTGTTTTTGTTTTGTGAAGGCCAAAGGTATTCCGTTAGTTTTACCGCTTTTATTGTTTTATTGCGTGCTTTGTATTATTTTTAAAAGATATAACCTATTTATAGCCTGAAAACATATCAGTTACGGCCTCGAACAGTTGAAATTTTTTGAAGCCGCGAGCTTTTACAAATGCAACACATCCTATCACAACGGATATTAATCGTCTGCGGTTATGTCCATGTCGAAGCCGAGCGGCGACTTCATTATTTTTTAGTTGTGGTTCTTTCTATTTAAGTAAATTAAAACTTTTATGCAAAAATGTATGATTTTTATTTGTAGAAACATCCTTTAATTAAAGTTATCCACATAGCATGTTTGTATTTCGAGTCATAATAAATAAATATTGTATAAATATAAATTAGCAATCACCGCAAAAATAAAACATTATTTAAAAACTGCATGTTCAAAAAATTAAAAAAATTGAATTAAAAAAAAACGTATTTTACTTTTGGATTTTTGAATGTTTTTTAACTTGTGTTTAAACCTCTGCTCTGGATGACATGATATCAAGCGGTAGTGATATCAAATATTACTTAAAAATATACATCAAAAATATGTCACACTATTTTTCCTTGAATCAAATTGGATTGAGGAGTTCTGGAGTTTAACTCAGCGCCTGGACCTGCCCTAGGACAGTACTACCCATTATAATTGAATAATTATTATTTTACAGGTATAATGTACTACTTCTGGGCAGATCCAGAAACAAAAATAGATTCTAAATTTTAGGTAGCAACAGATTATATTGTGCACAGATATCTTTAAATGAAATTTTGAAGTTGACAACATTGAAAAAGCTGAATACAATCCAAAATAGAATTATAATTAAAGTACTTTTATGAATGAAAAAAAACAAGGATCTAAATAAAACATTCGGTTTAAACTAAAATGACGATTGAAAAATGAGAAGCATGTATTATTTAAGAGTCAATTGTTATATAATTATATTACAATAAAAAGATAGGTAGGATTAAATTACAATAAAAATATAGGTATTACATCCTTCAAAACGCCATTTATATGATGACATTATAAGATAAGATAAAAATGGAAAATTCATTAAAAAAAACATGGAATGAATAAGAATAGGACGGAGCACAAGCGTCCAATTTGACTTTGAGTAATTATAATGTCTACACCAAATAAATTACATATTAATACATAACACTTTTCAAACAAACAACTACAGTTGTTCAGTAAAATTCTCAGTTAATTCTTAACTATTGAAATTTGTTTTCCTACTATTTTACTAAAATTTTTCATCTGTTTTTTTTTACCCCATAGGCGGCGTACTGATCGGAAAAGACAAAAATCAATAATAAAGAGAATTACAATTATTAAAAAATAATAAATATTATTTTTAAGAACGAAAGAATTTTGAAGAAATCTGTTTTCTTACTATTTTGCTAAAATTTGTCATCTGTATTTTTTATTTTTTTTACCCCATAGGCGGGATACTAATCGAAAAAAATCATAATAAAGAGAACTACAATTATCAAATTATAATGATTTAATATTAATTAATAATTTTAAGGACAAAAGAATAACTTTTGCCTGATTGTTAGTACTTGAAAAATGTACTAATAATTTTAATCAAATTTCTATCAAATAATTTAAACCAAATATATTAAACATGATCATGATTATTTATTTAGCAAATAATGTGATGAGTACAACAACATAGAAAGAAAAGCGTCGTAATCAAGTTGTAAAGAAAGTTGAAAACCAAGCAATTTAGATAAGTAGAAGGAACAGAAGATCGGTAATTCGATTAAATTGAGATAATAATTGGGTAATTTTGAATTCGTGGAGCGATGAGGGAGACGTAATATCGATTTCCCATTTATGTAATTAGCGAAATTTGCAAACGCTTGGGTTTTATCTGTTTTTGTTTGATAGGGAAACTTTTATGTATGCCGTTAGATTAATAGAATCGAACTGAGCTTCATTCGTATATTGAAGGACTTGGAGAAGTTTTGGTCCTTGCACAATCATTCACTCATTGACTATTTGAAACCAAAAACTCGATAGCTCGAACATGTTATCTATAAATAATTTTATTCCTAAAAGAAATTTACTAGAAAATATAGACTTTTATTAACTTTGTTGCTCATAAACTCGGTCGTCTAAACCAAAGTGATCGACTTAAATGTTCTCAATTAGTGATATTATTTTTTCCATGCTTTCGTTATATCTTCATCGACAATATTAACAAGTTATAGAGTATTCTTCCATGCAACATATGTCAATAATGTGTGTCCCTTAATGGTCAGTATAATGCAATAATTAGAGCTTGAGCAGATATTTCGAGATATATCAATTTTTTCCCACTTTATTAATAACATATATTTTTATTAATGATATCAATAATCATGTGTTTCTTAATAGAAAACATACTGAAAACTTATTTTTTTCAATTGGGTGCAAACGAAATGTGGTCTGAATAAGGCAGTACGAGAAATAAAAATATTTGAAAATTAAAAAAAAATTAAATCAAATTAAAACTATAACACTGTTGAAAATAATACATTAATTGTGGTAATAATTTAATAGATTTTCTTATATATAATTTATGTCCACAATGAGTCTACATTACTCATTCATAATTCCTATGATTCACCGTATACATATAAGATAAAGTCTCGATGCGTTTTATATTTTTTATACATTTGATAGCAACAATTCTAGTTTAATTGTTTACTTTTTTATATCAAAATTCTAATTTGTCAGTACCGTTAATTTTACTTATCTTATTTTCCATTCTACTTATCAAGCTATGAAAATTTTAGCAATAATAATACTTCATTAGATTATAAAAAAAATATTACATAGAAGAAATGAAGCTCAAACATTTTTATAGAGGCAATGATATACACTAACAATCGTGTGTACATATAAGAAACATGCAATACATTAGAAATTGCATATATATAAGTCCGTCTATGTACCTTACAAGTACTTTTGATATTTTTCTCTATAGTGAGGTTTTATCTCTTTCCAATAAATTTTGTAAATTAAAGTGATAGATTGATTTCTTTTCTAATTTGACTACGAAGAGCTAAAAATCAATGTCAACTGTGTAATCCAATCTCGACCCAGAACATTATTTCGATTCGCAATTGAAGCGAATAATTTTAGCCAGAGGCGATCGTGCGTACACGACAAAGACCTCCTAGTCTGCCAGGTTCAACCTTGGGATGCACCTGCGGCACCACATGCATCATAGAAATAATTATGTATGTATGCAAATATTGTTGCTAATATGACCGATAGGTCGATAATGAAGGTAGCCAATCAGTTAGGTTTGACATGAGAGTAAATAGTTAATTGTCAATTCAACATGCAGTAAATAAGAACATGTCCAGCGTTTTTATCTATGACCACAGTTATCTTTCCATTGACTAGCAATTCTTCAAGCTGCTCTCACATAGTCGATGGTTATTAACGAAGTCCTTTATCAGGAGACTGATAATAATTATTCATTTATATATATATATATATATATATATATATATATATATATATATATATATATATATATATATAACAAATGCATTCTGGGTGGATAGAGATTAATTTAGAAATATGAACAAACATCACTCTTTTTGCACTAATTTATTAAATAATAATTTTACAAAACGTTTCGAGACTAGGTTTTATTATCCGTTACAAGTCGTTCCTTTTACTGCCATACCAACGATCGTCGGAGTCTGAATTCTCTATTCAAGGTAAACTAGGTGAGTCACAAAATATCAAATAAGAAAGGGAGGGCCCTATTTTCAGCTGGGCCCTATTCCTTCTCTTTCCTATTAATTCCTTCT